AATAGACGTAAAATTAACTATATTATGCGATTACATTGTACATGTCGATGAGACCACCGAATTGGTATGTGCCTCGCACTGTTGAGGAATAAAACGATTAATTACTTAATCATTTATTTATATATCAATGGTGTCTCATTTGTCTAAACCGTCCTTTTCAAGTCCCTCCTGGATGACATCTCACCACCACTCCGCATCGATACGTCCTGAACACTAATCATCTATTTTTTCCTTTCTACCGTGTGAGCATTCGCTCGATCCTTTACTTGCTCGGTTGACCCATTCTCCCGCCTTCATGTTCACTTAACTCTGCAATTCGACATGGCGAACGACTTCCTGACACAAATAAGAACGATCGACGAGCCAGCCGATAGAGACGCCATGCAGGTGCGTTGCTTTGCACGCTTACATTCGTATCTTAGATGCTAAAATCTATTACCGAAAGTTGTTTAATTCACTAACCACTCGATAATGATTAGCTACTGATGACAAAATTATAAGGCTTAGGCAGTTAAATGCCTTTTTATACTTACGATTTTGTTAATTATTTTGTTTGGGGATAGATTAGTGAGCTAATCCTAGTAGTTACTTTTACCCCATGCAAACTTTCATTTTACCTCATTAAGGGTAGTTACCTACAGGCTTATTGGGTTGTAGAGAGCAGAGGGGAAAACCCTTGTCAGCTCCGTCGATTCCTATTCAATGTGGGATTGCTGCGCATCTTGGTGTGACGAAGTTACTCGAAAGATCGTCGCACTTGCAGCAGGAGTAGCATAATCCCAGCGTCTTCGTTAAATGTTTGTCTACAAGCCTCTTGAAAACTTCCGCCGAAAGTGCGCCAACAATTTCTTTTGATAAACTGTTCCACTCCTTCACCAGCCGGGTGGATAAGCTGAGGTCTCCGCGAGCGTGGAGCCTTGGTGTTTTGCACAGATTCCATTTGTGACCTCGTGTCGAGCAGCTGGCTTTGGGATGAAAGGACTGCAGTAGCTCTTTTCCGAGTTTGCCAAGAGGGATGCGTCTAATGTAGATGAGATCGCCGCAGCAACGGCGGAACTCCATGGAAAAAAGTTTTAACTGGTGAGGTCGGAGAGGGTAAGAAGATCGCGGAGGCCGAGGAAGGATTTCGAGGCACGCCTCTGGACCTTCGCTACCAAAGTGCTCAAACCTAGAGGGGAAAAACGGCTGGCTGCCCATATTCTAGTATGGGGGGTACGCATGCGGTAAACAGAGGTTGGAAGATCTCAGAAGTCATTCAGGAAAACGACCTTCGGAAGGCACCTAGAAGTCTCATTGCAGCTGCGACCTTCTTCAGTGTGCCCCGGGACGTCCTAAGGTCAGAGAATAGGATGACCCAGCGATCCTTTTCTGGAGTGGTGTCCTTGAGAAGAAATCCACCAGTGTGGTATGTGCCGCACGTCTCAGTTTTACCAATTGGGATAACCGCACATTTCTCACGATTTACAGGCAATAACCACTTGGTAGACCATTCGTGCAGCATATGTAGAGCCTCTTGTAATTGATCGGCATCGTCTAGACTACCTACTGTTGACCAGAGCTTAAGGTCATCAGCATAGATCAAGCAGTCGGTTTGAAGCGCAACCAGGAGGTCATTTATCTACATTTTGTTAAGTTCTGGTTTAAGTACGGACCCTTGTGGCACTCTAATTGTCATGGGTACAGGGGCGTGTGTGCTTTGATAGACCTTTACGAGTATGCTGCGATCTTTTAGGAAGTCGGCAATCCAGGAGAGGACTTTGCCCGTCACACGGATCTCCTGAAGTTTGGACAGCAGTCTTTAGTGAGGAATTTTGTGTAACGCTTTGCTGAAATCGATGAAGACCACGTCTATTTGTTTTTAGGCATCTTTGGCTTGTGTCCAAGTTTCTCTGGCGCCTAGCAAATTGGAGACGCAAGAATGTGCTTTCCGGAAACCATGTTGGGATGGGCGAATTAGGTTATATTTCTCATAGTGTAGCTGGAGCGCGCGTTTGAGGATTCCTTCCATGGTCTTGTGGACGACCGATGTCAAGCAGATTGGCCATAGTTCGCCGGATCTTGGTGCTTTTTGCCCTTGTAGTTGGGCATCACAGTGCCATCTTTCCAGTCAGTGGGTAAACGGCCGATTTCGAGGAAGTGGCGAAATATTTGCCAGTATGGATCAGCGATGGATAATGGGATAATGGAAACAGCTCATCTGGGACAGGAGATGAGTTCAGATACAGTTCGAGAAGGAGCTACATAACCACCTCAGGGTTGATTTCGATTTGCTCAAAAGAGGGTCAATATGCAGGTAGGGAGTTTCTGTGCAGATGGGGCTCCATTGAGTAGACCAAAAAGTACTGCGAAGCTAATAGGTTAGCTTTTCCCTCGTCATCTTGAAGCACCGTGCCTGCTTCGGAGAGTAGCATGGGTATCCCAGTACCCGCCTTGACCTTTCTTTTCAGGTATGAGAAAAGTTTCTTGGGACAAGTTAGCGATTCCGTGGCCAGGCTGTCTTCGTACTGGAGCCGCTTGTTGCGCCTTTTCCGCATACAAAGGTTCCTCACAATCTTGTCCTCTGAGTAGCTCGATGCAAGTTATGGGGTCTTGTAGTGGTCCCACAATTTCCGTCGTTTTTGCACTAAGGATCTGATTGCTTTATTAATCCAAGGTTGAGAACCATTGACTTAGAAATACCAGTTAACCAAGCTTGCTCTGAATGTGACCGCGAATCAATTGAATTAATACCATTCTTTTCGCTACTGACACCTAATACACACGGCAGAATGATGTCAGGATATTGCATCCTTTATCCACATAATGATGGACCTGTACAATTAAAAGAATATGTTTGGTTTTTCCATGCCATGTCCAAGGCCTTATATTTTGAGTTACTTAAACTAGAACTAAGTAAAATAAAATAAAAACGAGTATTGTATATAAAATTTGGTTACCCCTTGAGCCACATAATATCAATATCCGGTTGATTGGCACACCTATGTCGGAATTCTGTGATTTGTGTATTTGTATATGTGCTATACTGTTTAAATTCACATGTTTATTCAAGCTGGTAAAATAATTAATGTTCCACTAATCCATGGTGTCTAGCTTGTTGAAGCGCAGCTGGAAAATCGAGTAACATTTCCCGTGGACTTGAGTATAATCCGGGAGCTTTTTCTATGATTTGTTATGTTATTGATATGAACACTTTCGAGTGTGCGATTGCTATACAAAACACTGATTTCCTCTTAGTATGCTTATCTTCGTTTAGCTGCCACTAATTTTAGGCACCAATCACTGAGCCAAAGGTGTCCCTACATTTTTGTCCATTGCCGCTCTTTTCACGTAATAGCTACTCTTAGGGCTATATTTATTTGACACAAACTATCTTAGAATGAAACCTTATGCAAGCCAGAAACTGATCCTGTAAAGTAGTTGTCTAACAGGCAGTTTGGTTAAAACATTTTGCTCTGCAACCTGATCTTGGGTGCATAAATTCCATCAAGCAAGCTACCAGCTATTCACCGAAAGATCACGACAGCTTATCTTCACATGTAGGTGGCCATCTGGTGCAGATAAATCATAGCAAGGTCACATTCAGATACAAGGTAAACTGGGCTTTGAAGCAACAATTTTAGCTCATGTAATGTATAAATTTTAAATCTGATAAAATAAAAACTAGTTTATCCCTAGCAAAAGCTCACAGATTAACGTTACCCTACTCTGCGTGGCAATCAAGGCAAGCAGCTCATTAATCAGCATTGTTTTAATAACTAGTTTGTGCCAAACTTTTACACTGTTGCGTGAGCCGTAGTCCGATTACGTTCGATACTGGGCAAAGTAAAAGTTGTTTTCCGTTCATTTTCAAAACAACAACTCATTCTTATGCGAAATTCTCCCATACAGTGGACTGGTTTGATTGACAACATGTTGCACATTAGTGAATGGACAAATGAGACGGCTCTCAGTGCGCCTACCAACAGGTTATGCAGCAGTCAGGCAAAAGACCTCCTCAATGATTTAACAGAACTAAGTCAATTCGTGGAGAATCGCGTGCGTTACAATTTGCGAAAGGCACGCTTTGCAGTGACGTAGGCAACACTTGTTATTGCAATAAAAAGGCATGACAGTTCAGACTGCCAAAAGCAACCTCTTCCAAATCAGATAGTATTCCAATGCTCGGAAAAGAACTAGACGCGCTATATCACACTTGGCTTGTAAATCATGACGGTCCGAAGCTGTCCCCTGTGGCCCAGTGGTATAAGCTGCTGACTGGCGGTGCAAGCAGCTTGTGGTCATTGGTTCGAATCCTGGTGGGTCCGATGGATGCGCACTACTGATAATGCCCAACAGGATGAAACTGTAGTCTAGTGCTTTTCCGGACATGTGGAAGACTATCTGATTTAGAAGCTGGCTGTGACGAATCCCAATTATCTATAACGAAATCCCCTACTCAAGAATACATGAAAGCAACATCCCTTAGCAGCTTGCAAAATTTAAAATAAATTTCAGATCTGACAAGATTTTCTATTCGGTATTTCTGTTTGTTTTTCTGATGAGGTGTGGGTTAGTGTACGCGTTATAAAGGATAGCTCAACTTTTGGCTTATTAAAGCATATGGTACTCGGCGGAAGGCAATTTGTAGCAGCCCTCAAATCACGAAATTTTCCTTCCAAAATGTTGCTTAGCATAGTTCGGTAATCAGTTAAAAGGCATCCTTCTGTGAAACTGCCATTCTCGTGTATTCACCATGCACTAGTCTTGGAGTAATGTGTTTTACTCTTTGCATATCTTTTTCTTTATACGAGTAAATTGGCAGTGGCAAGTGGAACACTCTCCAACAGTTGCTTAACTGACCAACACTCCTGACTTGACCAGTTGCCTCATTTTGATTGGTTGTTTATCATATCACTTGACGTTCCTTCGCCTCCGTTTTAGTTGGCTAGCACACATGTGCTTCACGCTTCACGCTTCACGCGGTAGTGTACAAAGGGACCTGGACGAGCAAAATGGCACAAGCGGCTGTGTGATGGAGTTGCTTGCTTAATCGGCGCTGACCAGCCTTGGTCCGTCCATGTGTCCGAACGTACATATCGCAGTCCAGCGCTTTTTGAGGCAACCTAACATTTGTTCATCAAAAACCATCAAAACAACCGTTGTGTTGGACAGCCTCACAAAAGGCGCATAAATATTCACACCAGAAAACGTATGACATCCTGCGTGTACAGATCGGTGTGCGTCCATTCGATTTCAATGAGCTCTGGATTCTGCACACGCTGCATCGATCGAGTACGCATAGAAATGTACGGAGCACTGTGCAAAACCTGAGATCCTCACGGATATTTCCTGAAATGCGCTAAACCCAATCACCTTTGATTCAAAATTCAATCGGAATAGCAGACTATTCTGCTAGTACATTGTTGCCCATCAGTTGTTACCCACGGCTGTCCGGTTCAACATAACATGCTCGTATCTATGGTTTTAGTAATGTGTATTGTTTCACATGCAGATTCCCGATCTGTACTGCGCTCCAATACTGCAGACTGGACAATGGGGTACAAAAGACGGACAAACGTACTTAACCAAACGATTGGATTTCATAGTATGGGGCACAGTACCGAAGCTAATCCATTTCCGAATCCTCGTACCAGTCAATCGGCGTATCACAGAGATCGAAGAAAGTGGCTAACAACAGTCCCGATAAAGCTAAAACCACCAAAAAATTCTAATAACAATGGAATGGACACTGCAGATGTATTCATACCGGATTCCGTTATTTTTGAACCGGAACGAGATTTATCGCTTTTGTACCCAAATAGTGGTTGGATCGACCCATGTAAAGCACGTGAGTTCGTAGAAATTATGTTCTAAACATCCCATCGACGATCATCAGTCGTAGACTGCATGTTGCTTAGTAAACTATTCAGCGTGGAGGCTTCCGCAGACCACTCATAGCTTATGCATGCACAGTAGGATATAACAATCTACGCTTTTCGTGTTGGTACTCGTGATTGATACTCGGTACTTACGCAATGGATCACAATCTGTAAATGTATACCTCGCTAGTTACTGGTACAAGCCGCCTCTCATGATTTTGGAAAAGCAGGCTGATGTCCTGATGCATTTCAGCTGAGAAAGTGGTGCGAAACGAACATACCTTATTTGGAGGAACATACTAATGAACAAAAATGTAAAATTGGAATTTGCTGAAATTTTATTATTCGTCCTACCATTAGCTACAAAAAGGTGGGTAAGCCCCCGATTTGAAATGCCATCATCTGCAGGGTGCACACAACATATCTACTACAAATAACACAAAAATAGGTAGCATAGTGTTATATCTAGCTATGCTTTATCGTTCTTATTGTGAAACAATGGTATCACATAATCGGGGAGTAAAAAACGTTAATGCGATGCCCATATTAATTATGAGGTGATCTCTCTGGGTCCAGCCTATGAAAGATTCCATGTATTACTAAGCAGCATTTATTGTTTGGCCAAACTCGCACAAAGCTTCCTAATTCTCTGCTTCTAATCCGTCGCAAAATCCAATACTCTCTCATTCACTTAATTAACGACCCGGTCTAGAAATTAACTCCTGTTTTTCTTATTGCCGGTCTCCTGTACCCGGCATACCGCAACCGGTATTTCAGACGTTTTCATGCGAAGTGCACATAATGTAGTGGGGTTAATTTATCTAATGTCCATTACCTCAAACGTCGATAGCTATGCTGCGGTGGTCGTGGCGTTTACATCAATCGATTTAGCCGGTTCAAATGCGAGCGCAGCTATCTTCGCCTTATGTAAACAAGTGGCGGTCGCACAGGGGCGCTACCCCCAAAATTTGTGCGCGAACGTGGAGAAACAGTGTGAATATTATGATACCAGAGGTTTGTTACGAAAGTTATGGTATGTTTATCCCGGTACTAAGTGGATGACCACAAATTATTGTGGACCCACCGGCTGTACAGTTTACCGCACACGGTAAAATAGGGCGATAACCATTTTCATAATATTTACTTTGTGAACTCTGGGTGTCTATACTAGTTTTCAAAGTAATGTTCGCATACAACGTATAATTATCCCGGGATCTAGTTTCGGTAAACATTATAGAAGTGCGAAGCATAACGAACAATTCCGCTTTTCGTCCCGTAGTACACAACTATCATCATTTAGCCTATACAATCACCAAACCAATGGATATGACCGCTTAAGAGAAGTACATAGAGTTTTACTTTGTCAGTGTTTTATTTCCAAAAACATGGCACTAAATGCTAATGATAACAAAGAAATAAAAGTCTGTTTCAGCTGTTTTCTTACTTAATTCTACTGCGGTATGGTATAATTCACTATTTAGCGAACAAAGGAAAAGGAAAGTGTTAACAATGGGAACTTGAAACGCAACCGATACTAAGTGCTCCATTCAGCTTCCTGTGATCAAATATTCCGTGTTGAAGTTTGGCAGGGAAAATTTACGAGGAATCTATGCTCTCTGTACTTCATTTTCCAGGCTTTCAGTTTACGTTCAGCACGTCAGTTTCTAAAATTTACACACAGACAATATTTGTGTTCAGTACTGTCCATCAGAAAAAGGAGGACCATTACTATAATTCGAATTTTAATTCGGAAGTGTCCGCTTCTGACCTTTACTTATTGTAACTTCTTACTATTCCATTCATTGAGTAGATTCCACCCTGCCGTACAAAATATTGAGCAATATACATTTGCGTAACCATACGGGATTGTTTGCCGTTGAGAAACGTACGTTACTTTTTCACTGGATTTTTGTAAATGCTCCCTGACTGTATTCAACGTTCGTGGCTCACTTTTCTACACACAACTCCTCGGCTTGATTGTTTATCCAGAACAGAATGCGTTAAGATTTTTACTTGTCTCGCTCTTTTTAGAATAACGAAAAGCATAATATAAAGGAGTATATACAACATTAAAAACTAAATCATGAAACTGAAGTTCTAGCTGGGTTGAGTTGTTCAAGCTCCAACTGCTCAACATAACTTAGGTAACAGCAGTAATAATTTTTATATAATCTTCGTTCAAACCAAGTAGATAAATCAGTTCCCATCCAAGCAGGGCTCTCAAAGTGTGCACATTTTTATAGGATTTCATATGTACTAGTGAGTAGTGTTAGTTTGTATAAAACTTAACCGACCTCATAATTGATAAGCTTGACATACGCGAGCATATGAATACCGTCGATCAACGAATGTTGTTACATCTGAACTTTCCTCATTAGCTCAGCAAATTAGACCTACTCCCTTTTCTATCCACTGATGTGGCATTTGTTTGATAATGTGTTGCGTATATATTACGTATATATATAATACATAATAATAATATAATATATATTATAGATATTATATATTATATATATATGCTAATGCCTTTATTCTGAGAACAGACGTTAAAGCAGATTCACCATTATTTCAGTGAAACCAGACATTCATTTTCAGGATATGTCCCTTTATTTCAGATGATGCTCTACTCTGAGCTTTTTTCATGGTAGGCAATGCAGAGCAATATCATACTCGTTGAAGACATATTCCACTAACAAAACTCTCACTAGAGATTCTCCTTCATAGCATACAACAAGTATAATTACAATGCGGAGCAAATAGACCACACAACTGGTAAAAGGATGCACCCAGTTAGATGAAGGCCGGTTTAGCTTGAGAAGAAATGATTACACATAAATCAAATACTTCAACCTCCGGAACCAGGTAGACTGGAGGGCATAATGAGATGTCTGTGGGTCGGATCTTAAGGTATCACTTTACTGACGATCTGATAAACGATTCAGCGCCTAATTTATTCGTCTATTTCAATCTTTGTGCTAAATTTACGGCGCATTATAAGCACTCTCCGTTAGAAAACATTGCTTTTGTAAGCTGATAACTACGAAGACACGGTGTTTACACGGCTTCTGTACGTAGAAAACTTTTACAAAACGTACTAAAAATTACGAACTTTCCATGTTCTAACATTGGTGCTTTGTCTGGACACCAAATTCCTGCTTAAATATGCAGAAAGTTAGGTTACTTATGTCATACAAGAATTTAACAGCTGTTAGTACGCTTCGTTTGGTGAGACTGACGAATGTGACGACACTTTTAACGATGTGATACTTGAACCGTTCGCTTTTTACATGGTCAAGTGCAAGAGGTCCAGGGTTTTGTTCTAAAGAAGAAAGCAACCATTAGTCTCACAACTGCAACAAACCCATTGTTAACTAGTACTCTGATCATCAAATAAAATAACTGATAGGAAAGTTCTAGCATGTTTTGCTATTTCAAGAAAAATGAAATATTTGGACATTCATTAAAATAATGATTTTTATATGACTTGCCTGATTCTTTTGATCATGTTACAAATAAATACACATTGATTTGCCTAGTTTCCAGTTAAGCGAAACTTTTAGAACCTCAGTTGTTTGGTAAAGGAGTCTTTGAATAATCACATCCAGTTTCTATTATCATTGCTTAATTCTTTGGGTTCTAACTGGCTCTAAGTTTGAGAAAATTTGATGAGATGATTGTTCTTTTCTCTATACTCAATGGCACCAAACATGCCATGGATCAGAATTACGGAAAATATAGAAGACAATACTGTTTTGTGTAGACTTGCCTGACGCCAACGTTTCATTCCTTTTCCAAGATCTACTTCTGTTCAATACCTGGAGTCACTTGTACAACGTCCTAACATACAAGACTACACAGAATCAACACGAATCCTAAAGTTTCTGAAATTACAAACCTCAACCGGATCTAAGCTCACTCCGAAGCTGTAGAATGTATTCACAATGGTTCCTTTCGAGAATGGTACGCAAACCTCTCTGCTATACAGGTATATGAAAAATCATTTAAGTAAGACTTTTAGACACGGCGCTGCAAAAGGTTATGGGTGCACAATGATCACCCCATCCTCCAGCTGGCCAACATAGGTTTGCAAATTCTTAGAAATCCATCTGAAATTATTCTCGGTTTCTTTTGCTGCCCTTTACTTGTGTTGAGTCTAAACCCCAAACTAGAATGTTTACGTGTTGGCTAGATTCACTGCTCTATCAAATGCAGTTCGCCGAACCCCGCGTTGGGCACTATGTTCAGCACCAGTAAAGTCATACGAATTAGTAAAGGCATCCTTCTACCTCAGAGAAGTGTGCAAATTCTTTGAGCTTAGAATCATTACTAGGCTTCCAGTATTCTGGAAGGTCCACACATTGGTTTGATTGTCTATGGTTGGAAAAACGACCACCCTTTCTACTGGCAATAAAATATTCATCAAGCTAGTCGTCAAACGCATACGGTTAAGACCATTTTACTGGTGTGCAATTTCAATAAAAATATGCCCGCCCTTCCTGCGTCATTGCCTTAATGTGCTAAGCGTAGCCTTCCTTCATACTAATAAAAGTTGAACATAATTAACTGTAAATGCTTAATTCTACCCAAATTCTAATTGCACATGAGGCTTAGATGCAGTTCCCAACTTACACATTCAACTACTCTTAACCAAACTTCAGGTGCCCGGCTTTGTTCAAACTTACTAGGTACTTGATGCTTTCAAATTTGAGTCAGTAAAGGTTGACCTATGTTTTTCTGTTTTGTTTTATTCGCAATAAAACATTAGGGTTTGTACTGAAATTTAACAGACCGTGGGACGAAATTGTATCTAAATAGTAGATCAGTAAACTTTCCGATAAACACAGGTTAAAGACGACCCAAAACAGATTTGATTTCTTCAGTAGCTATATGATCTTAGCGTGGGCATTAGGTTTTTCAGCAGAAAATTTTAAACAAGTAAATTTTCTCCATTAGCTGCATGGTAGACGAC